AAAAAGATTTCCGAGGTTACAATATGGATGTCAAAACGTTGATGTGGAAACCGCCTATCCGGTTTATTGCCTCTGGAGTTGGATGTACCTGGATATGCCTAAAAGGCATTCAGAGGTAATGTGTTGTATGCTTTGTCTTGGATGGTCGCAGTCACAAGCTGAAGATGGAGTCTTGCTCCACTTCTCTAGTATCTACCCGGCCCATCCACCACAACCAGACATGATTGACAAAACCTGGGATTAACTGATCTAGATGGGGTTGTCGGTACAACATAGAAGTAATTACTATTTAATATTTAATTAATATGTGTATGAAGTTGCGAAACTGCAACAGGCGGAGTTCTAGATTTCAGCCCGTTCCTTTTGAAATCGGGAATATCTTGGTGTATCTGTAAGTTTGGATTATCTTGCATTTTCGAAATATATGGACATTTATTTTGTATGAATATATAATTTGCATGGACATATATTCATGTCCATGACTACAGGATTGGGATGGGATGCAACGTCGCTGCCTGGGTAAATATTTACATTTCTAAACTACTAACAAGAATGTAATCAATTTGATTTCGGATTATTCTGGCCTTCTTGTCTCCTGGGGCTTTCCGTGTGCTTAATCTTGTCTGTGGCATCTTGAATAAGATGTTGCTCTGTCATTTATTCTTCTATATAAAATGTTTATCCCAACGCAGCACAATACTGCGCAGCAGAGTACACCAATCCGAGAGCTGAACATCGCAGTTTAGTAGCTATAGATCCCCAAGTTGTTCCACACAGCTTTTAAATGATATTTTAGACAACGAAAACTGTTATTACAGAAAAACTTCCGGCGAAATTATTTTTCGATGGGTAACAGCAGACATAAAGCAAAATGGATTAGGTGTTATTTTCTTCGATTGCTCACAGATAAAAATAATGTCGGTAAAGTTTGCGAAAAATAATAATCACTGAATCTAATCTTAGCGTCATATTGTATTGCGTTCAACTTACTTGCTAAATTGTTCCCATCATCCTTGAAATGTAAATTTTATCCCTGACGAAATAGTGCTGATACAGCTTATTTAAAATATTGTATCATTTGACCCTCCCTTTTAGCCTGGTGGAAAATACACTGATACCTGTCAAGATATTCGCGGGTTTTCGGATTATCGCCGGAATCTATCTACTAAGAATAAATCTGGCGAGAAACCTGGTTCTATTTAGTATACAACTTGCTATATTCTTTGCATAGGCCAGACAATATTTCTCTTAAACAACAATATCCGTATGATATGGCATATTTTATTGCTAAATTTTTGCTAATTTAAAGCACTCATTACACCGTGTGCTACCGATCTCACTCCCTTAAATTCACAAAAAATCGAAATAATCTAGTTTTAATATCGGCCTTTAAGATTTGAACGGTGTAAAGAGTGGCATAACCATCAGTTTAAAAATATGTAGGTGTAGATTAGGATGTATTTAAGGCTCGGCATCTATTCAATGCCTTAGATAGAACAACTGATATTTTTTTCCATTTGTACGAGAGACCATGGTTTTGGTAAATAGATAAGAGAAAATTTTGTTTTACTAAATAATCTCAAACTCGAGAATTATGACATCTATAACGTGTAATGAAAAATGAAACCTTACTAATCGGTAGAATTCTTCTTCTTCTTCTTAGCCTTCTGTCGTCCATGTTTGGACATAGGCCTCTCCCAACTCCTTCCATCGGTCTCTATCCTGAGCAACATATTTCCAATTTGTTCCGGCTATTCTTTTAATGTCATCAACCCATCTCATCTGTGGTCTTCCTCTTGGTCGTTTACTTTCGTAAGGTCTCCAATGTTGTATTGTAGTGTTCCAACGTTGGTCTTTCTGTCTAGCAGTGGCCCGAAGCTCCATTTAAGTTTGGCAATTTTTGTTGTTATGTCCTCGACTTTTGTTTTGGATCTTACCCAGTCGTTCCTCTTTTTATCTGACAGTCGTATACCTAACATTGCTCTTTCCATTGTTCTTTCTGTTGTGGCTAGTTTATTCATGTTTGCCTTGGTTAGGGTCCAGGTTTGACATCCATATGTCATGATAGGAAGGATGCATTGGTTGAACACTTTGCTCCTCAAGTATTGGGGTATTTTGCGGTTCTTAAGTATCCAACTAAGTTTTCCAAATCCTGCCCATGCTAGTCTTGCTCTTCTAGTAATTTCCGCACTTTGGTCTCTTTGTCAAGTCTCAGGATTTGGCCTAGGTAGATATATTCCTGGATTTGTTCTATCTCACTGCCGTTTATAGTTATATGTCTGGGTCTTCTGTGTTTGTCATTATTTTTGTTTTTTCATATTCATTTTTAGGTCGACGTATTGGGAGCTGGCTGCTAGTTCCCCAACATAATTTGCAGTTCCTCGAATGTGCTCGCTATAATCACTATGTCGGCAGCGAATCTGAGGTGGTTTAACTTGTTGCCATTAACGTTAATGCCATAATAATTCTCATAAATAGTTTGTATACTTGACTGAGCAAAATATAGGTCTATAGTTCTGTAGATCACATGTCATTTGTCCCCTTTTTTGTGTAAGAGTATTACTAGACTCTCGTTCCAGTCTTTAGGGATCTGGCTATTATGGAGACATCTATTAAATAGCTCTGTTAGTACAGGGATTGTTAATGTCTTGCTTGTTTTCAAGAGCTCGGCAATTATACCGTCGTGTCCTGGAGCTTTATTATTTTTTAGTTCTTTTAAAGCTCTTTCTATTTCGTATCCCTTTATATTTGGTAGTACTTCTGATCCCACGTTTTTTATTTTTCTTTTGACGTTCTCCTTTGTTGTTTCATTAGGCTGGCCTTGCGAGCTGTACAAGGATGTGTAGAAGTCTTCGACAATATTTGTTATTTTATATTTGTCCTTCTCTACCTTATTGTTGGCGTCTTTAATTTTGATGATTTTTTGAACTCCCAGTGCGGGTCTTAGACATTTTAAGCCTCTGTTGTTTTCAATGACTCGCTCTATTAAGTTCTCGTTCCATTTTTGTATGTCGCGTTTTAGTTCTTTTCTAATTGTTTTATTAAGTTCTCTATATTCTTGAGTATGGCGTTTGTTTTGCGCTAGTAGTTGTCTTCTTTCCGTCATTAGCTGTTTAGTTTCATTGCTTATTTTGTCTTCTTTAGTCCTTGTTTTCTTTGCGACCTGTAGTCCTGCTGCGAGAAGGTTTTTATTTAGGTTTTTATTAATCTCGTCAATTTGATCTTGATTATGTGAAGGATCAGATTCGAACTTATCCGCTAAGACCTCTCGGAATTGCTCTTCATTTGTTCTTAGTTTAAAGGCATCTATCCTCATTGTTTTTTTAGAATCGGTAGAATTAAATTACAATATTATGAGCGTGAGCTCCGATAACATTAATGCTGTCAATAGTATGTTAATCATCGATGTAAACGTTAATTTAAACTGTACAAATACCAACAATACTATTTCATTATGAAGCAGTTTGGTACAGATTAAAAGGACTGAATATTATTGTTTCTTGGCATAAAACTTCAACAATTAATTCCTTGCGGTTTACTTTTCTAGTTTCATTGTTTTTTGTCGATATCTCAATTTTTCCGTGGGTGAGTTTTACGATAGGGGATGATGGGGTAGTTTTTCGTCATTGGTCAACGTACCAATCAACAGCAATTAATTAGCAATAAAATATGAGGCCAAGATGGACTCTGTAGCCGCTTTCTTTGCTGAGATATAGCTGGGGCTATGCTAGCTTTACCGTAAAGTTAGTATAATCAGTGTGTTTCGGAACCGGCTACAGCAAATAATTTTTTCTTTCCATAATAAATTAGCAATAAAATTATAGTCTTGGTCTGAATTCGACCTTATAAATTGAATATACCAACTCTACCTGGCACATAAAATGAATTTCTTTCTCTGGCACTTATCAAAGAGTTCTTGTTTTCGTTAAAAATGTATTAGGAATTATTTTCTTCGGAGCAATCGACGATTTGTCAAATCTGCGACATGCTCTATATAGTCTATAGTACAAGTATAGTCTACTTTTCTTCTTTGTAATTTTTCATTTACTATAATGGAGTCTATGATGCTCGAGTATTCCAGGTAAATATATGATTACCTTTATGTCTACAGAACGTGTTCGTCATTTTCAATTTGTTTTGGGCTTCCGTTGAAAAGATGAAGTGATAGACACATCATCAATTAAATAACAAGGAATCAGTAATAACAACAGGCATTGTTTATTGAAAGCAACAGTCTCTAATAAAGAATGAAAAACAGAATATTTCTATTTTTCTTTCGCTTCGTATAATGTAGATTTGAATGTAATAGATACATTTTATCAAACACATAGTTCTTTCCATTAAATATCCATCACGATAGATCCGACTCCCAGTAGTGTGCTTTCCCCCGTTTTATGTTATCACGCATCGCTGGAACACGAAATGGACTGGCACGTACCGATTTGATCTAAAAAACCTCAGGACATAAAAGCGAGTATGGATTCGGTTTCTGATATGTAAAATGCGATGATTTTAAATTAAAATCTTCAAGATAACAGAATCATAAAATGTATAGTATCGAAAATATGTTTTGGTTTATAAAAAAAGTTTTGTATTTATTTATGTATTCAGACTTTTTTACACAGGCGTGCGGTCCATCTTATACTTCGATATAAGAAAATATATTGTTAACTGATATTTAATTATAAACAATTTTTCCCTAATCTAAGTAATCTATTATGTAGGCAATAGGCATCGAAAAATATTAAAAATTGATCGCATAAACGAACTCAAATATGACAATGCCCAGGCAGCACAATTGAACGCATCAGGAATTTATGACCTCACCCGCGAGTCATATTGAATTAAGCGTGAATTTGGTAAACAGGCAGCACTTTCTCGACCGCCTTGCGCCTTTATTTATTTAGTAGTAGTCGCCTGTACGATCGGTGACGGCTATTGGTTGAAAAAACTGTAACTTTTGTGCTGCTTTTCTTCTGTGTTGTATATCTTTTTCCTCAATGGAAGGAGCGAGTGAAAGAACATCGTGTAGGTTTGTGAACAATGTAGAAAACTGTGTTTTGTATTGTGTTTTGTTTATTAAAAACAAAAAAGATTTTCAAATCGAAGTTATCAAGAGAAACTGGAAATTATGAACACTAGTAGGTCAATGGACCCCACTAATTTAGAGACAAAAGTGGAAAAATCGGCAAAGAAATTTACCAGATATTTTCACGTGTATTTTTATGAGAAGTATGAATGGTTAACGGGCTGTAACATTGTATCAACATTATTTTACTGGCCTTGTTTACTTTTTAATGAAAGCGAAAAAACACATTGGAATTTAGTCGACATTACAGATTTATATAATTTTCACAAAAGTGTAAAACGCTATGTAAATAGTAAGGATCATTTAAGTGCTACAATTAAAGAAAACAGATTCGGTACATATAGCATTGAACATAGTTTGCACAATCATTTGAAAACAAGCCACAGACTTTACAGTGAAAGGGTAAACAAGGGTTGTTTCTTGCAAGACTATGAATTAAGTTTCAGAGGTCATAATGAAACAAGTGAATCAGCCAATAGAGTTGCCTGTTGAATTTTCTAGTAGTGTTGAATAACACTACTAGTTAAAAGTAGAGAGTTAAAGAAGACAGAAGGTGCATTGCCTTGGTAAAGGAGAACTTTTTTGTTCAACAATTGAGACCTTTTATTTGCAATTTCGGTCTTCAAACGTTCAATACAGTTGTCGCTGATGATTATTTCTCCATGCTTTAAATGGTCAATGAAAAGAATTCATTGCGGGTCCCAAAATACAGAGGTCATAACCTTTCCGGCGTCGCTTTGGGCACTTCAAATCGGCAGCCGACAGCAGATTTGATTGCAGGGTGAAGTGATGGATCATGTCCAAACAGCGTTGAGACTCATTTAACAGTTTTCTTATACCCAAATGTGCATGTATAATAATAGAAATGCTACCCTTTGACCATTGATCATTTGAAATCAATGATACTCTCAAAAAAACCACAAAATGTAGATAACCTGATAATCAATAATACAACGATCGAAAGAGTAACAACATATAAATATTTAGGAACGTGACTAACCGAAGATGGAGATCAAACAAAAGAAATCAGATCTAGAATAGAAATGGCAAGAAACACGTTCATAAAATTGAAGAACTTACTTTGCAACCGTAACCTTAATCTAGAGATCCGCACAAGAATGCTACGTTGTTACGTTTTTTCTACTTTACTATACGGCATGGAAGCGTGGACAATAAAACAGTCTGAAATCAAAAAATTAAACTCCTTTGAGATGTGGTGCTACAGGAGAATCCACAGAATATCGTGGACTGAAAAAGTAACTAATATAGAGGTGTTACAAAGAATGAAGAAAGAATGTGAAGTCATAAAAACTGTGAAAATTAGAAAGATTCAATATCTGGGTCATATAATGAGGGGCGAGAAGTACGTATTACTTAGGTTAATTATGCAAGGGAAGATACAAGGGAAGAGAAACCCAGGACGACGCAAAATATCCTGGCTAAGAAATTTGAGAGAGTGGTTCGGTTGCAGCTCATTAGAATTATTCAGAAGCGTCGCCAATAAAATTAAAATACCTATAAAAATAATAATAAAATAAAAATAATAAAAATATGATGATTTCCAACCTCCGATAGGAGAAGGAGCCTGAAGAAGAAGAAGCTACCCTTTGATAACTTTAGAGTTTCAGCTATCCCTAGCGATTTTCCATAATAGTTTTCAGCATTTTTTTGCATCATTGATGTCGGTGCGACCAGGTTTGAATTCATAAATCCATTGTTTAATGGTTGTAATCGATGGAGCAGAGTCCCGGTAAATCTTTTTAAGCCATTACTCAATTTGAACGGTATTTTTTCCCGTCAGATAAAGTGATAAATCAACACACGAAATTGCTTTGAATCCATTGTTTATAAAAATCACGAACGTAACGTCCCTTCAAATAGTGTAAGTTTGTAAATAATAATCCGAATGACATGAAAATTTTGAAAATTTGCTTTTGAAGGTTAGGACTATCGAAATGTTAAATGTAAAATTCATTAGAGTCGCTATCTCATGGTTAGACCCGAGACATATTGACCGACGAATTATAAATAAATTTCGATAAAATGCATTAGTTCGAAGTTTTTACCACACACAGGAACCGAACTACTAGATAGTAGGCTCAGGACACTGAATCATTTTATGTCTCGAAGGTACCACTACTCTGCACTGCACTGCACAGTCGTTGTAGACGATGAGCAGATGAATAGAATCAAAACAGGAAAACGTGTCGGGAAGGAAAAAATTTCGCGAGAAATGATAAGTATGTAGAAGGAAAGGGAAAGTAATGACTGTGGATAATATGTAAATCAGTTAATTATTCAAGTTTATTCACATTAACATCTGCATTAAAAAGGCCGAATGGAAAAAGTATGTGTGGACGGAATATTAACAATAATCTGAAAATAAAGGCGAAATTCCGCGATTCAACCGAATCACTTTGGTTGAATGGAGCAGAAATGAATGCCTATTTACACGGTATTTGGAAAGTGAACTGTTTAACACATATTTTTTGAAAGATGTCATCGAATGAAATGGTGCGTTTAGGAGTTGCATTAATATGAGATTACTTAATAAAAGACATATCGAAAAAGAAGCTAAGGAAAAGCCGTCGTTGGTGGGTGCGATCATGGGTATTAAGAATACAAGTCTTAGGAGCTTCAAAGCGTCTATTGAGAGAATTGGCAGAAAAGGATCCAGATACATACCTTAATTATCTTCGCATGAACTTTGTATAATGGTTTTATTCAAAAAGAAAATACTATGATGAGTGATGCTTTGCCCGAAACAGTGAAATTTCAATCTGTCTTATAACTTATCTCTTCTTCGGTTATACCAAAGAATACACTAATGTTCAAATCTTCAATTAGCGATTTAATAGCATTTTCACTACAATCTTAGTTTTTATAACGTTACGTTTTATAATTCCATAGACAGGAATACTTTTTAAAAGTTCCAAGAACACAGGCGTGTACTATTCTTTCCATCTGAAAACCATTGCGTAGATATGTAGTAGGTAGGTAAATATGTATTCCCGACATTGTGGCGCACACGACTGACTTGACTGTAATTGTGAATCGTCAAATTCTTGTGTTTACACATTCTCGTTCAAAAGCGTTGAAGATTGAAGGCTACAAGTGAAAATATTGAGCTTGTTCAATTCTTTTAAACCACAACATTCAATGACATGGAATGATTCACTTTTAGGTTTACGTGGACCAATTTGGTTGCTTCATCCAAATTGAAAGGCAAAAGTGAACCTTATAATTTCACTTTAAGATTCGTCAAATGTTACATCTTCTCGACATTATTGTATTGGGTTGAAAGCTGGATGCTCCCTAAGTTGCTATTAAATAAATTCCAAGCTTTCGAAATGTGGGTGTATCGAAGGCCTCTACGCATAAGCTGGGTTAACAGAGGGACAAATGTAGAGGTTTATAACGTTTAAACAATAATCCAAAGTAGTGAACATCGTCAAAATACGAAAATTTGAGTATTTTGCCAATGTTATGCGACACAAGGAACGATATAGAGTTCATCATCTTATTATTCAGTGCAAAATATTTGGAAAGAGGGGTCCCGGTCGAAGAACATTACGGATTTGTAACCTGCATCACTGGTTTGGTCTTCAGAGCAGCGTCACAGCGTAGACACAAATTTGTTCTAGTGTATATCAAATATGAAAAATATTCATATTATCGTTTCTTATTTGAGTATTGAGTTTCAATCTCTATTTACAATATTTCCTTTTTGAGAAGGATTTCCGGTTTGGAAATATATAGAAACGTTGAATAGAAATGTAAAATGTAATTTTTATTTCTGTCAATTTTGGTTTAATCCCATATAAATACATTATTGAAGTGATAAAACTAGTGAGTCTAATTATAAACGTGAAGCCACAGGATATTAGGGTAAAAACAGGATATTCGAGTAAAAAATATTTTAATAATATTGCAAGTTTGCTCTATAACGATATAATAATAATGAAAACTTAATCTGATTAAATACCGCATTGTCGTATCTGTGTGAAAATGTTATAAAAATAACCATTCGGTTTTTACAGTGGTTTTTTTATTCGTTTTTATACATATATGAAAATAAAAATATATATTTTCATTAAAATATTGATACAATCCTTCATTTACTATACTCTTATTACAAGTCAAATGTTTATATACAGCAAATGATGCACCATATACCTACATACCTAATTCTTTTTCTCTTTCTGCTCTCTCTTACCGATAGCATTACATATGTAATGATTGTGCAGATTGACTCCCATATAAATTTGTAACGTCGAACGCGTGTATAGAAGTATAACTTCTACCGGCTGTCCCACTGGACGACTGCCACACCCGTTTTTTTCTATTGTCGACTGTTTTTTTCCAACGAAACGCAGTTTATGACGTGACCTTCTCATGCTTTCTCTACTTCCTCCATAATTCAGTTCGCTTACAAATTACTGATGAATTTTCTTAATTGTGTGATTTGTTGATCGCTAAAATGAAAATTATATATCTGTCTCCGTAAGGTAAGATACCTGGTTCCATCACAGCCGTCTTGATGGAACCAAATATTCTCCAGATTTACATCAGGAAGATTGAGAATAGCGGGAAGATTATGATTTTGTAGCAAAGTTTATGTACTATTCAAGTTACCCTCAATAAAAAATGGACCTATTATGTGGTCTCCTAAAATACCAGTCCAAATAATAACTTTTTGAGGACGTTGAGTTCGGTAAAAAATACTTCTGTGCTGGTTTTCCCGTACCCAATACCTCGTAATGGAAGGATTGTGTCTCCCTACTAATGAAACAGATGATTCATCAGTAAATAAAATGTTTTTAATAAAATTGGGTTCGTCATTAGCCTTCGTTATTAGAGTTTCACAAAACTCCATTCTTCGAAAGTAGTCTGGATAAAAGCTGGTGCGTTTTAGAATATTTAAAATTCTTGTAACCGTGCTTTTTCCACACTTTCGTTACAGTAACATTGCTAACATCTAACTCACTAGCAACGCTTCTACTTGAACGTGTTGAATCTACCTCGATTGTTGCACAAATTTGTGTATCTCGGTATTCTCTTTCCTCAACTTTTGAAGCCATAAAATTCAGACAACTTGGTATACGTACCTATTTTATAATGGAGACCTAGACACGAGGCTTATCGTAATCGAGGACGTTATCTATTTAACGACTTCAGACCCGAAGAACAACACATTAGGCAAAGACAAAGGATAAGAAATATGAAATACTAAAGGTAGAAGTACTGCATGCTATCAAGTTGGCCAAGAACAGGAAAGTTGTTGATCCCGACATATATGTTAAAACTAATTAACGAAGAAAACATTAAACTATTGGTTAAGGTTTTCAATCTTGTGTACTCAACTGGTTAAATCCCAGAGGACTGTTTGGATTTAGAGATGGATTAAAAAATAGAGAACCACTTTTTCGACTGAATGTTTTGCTACAGAAGTGTCGAGATCAACGTACAGATGACAAATTATTGGCGATGGGGCAACGGAGGTTCGTGGAAAGTCGACGGCGAGTAGTGTTGCCATTTATAGTGTGTATATCTAATTTGAAACTTGCGAACGGTATTTTGTTTTCCAATGATTTATTTGGTTGGATGGTTGGATCCTTTTTTAAATTTATTAGTTTTCACAACCTTATATTTCTATTATATTTAGTAGTTCATTTTAAATTTTCCAGTTCAAAGCATATTATTATTTATTACACAAAAAAACTTAATTCCAGGTTACCAAAAGAAGAAAAAGAATCTCCGGGGTATGGACCTCTCCTGAAGACATTACTGTTTAAAAACAACAAAACTCACGATCATAATAACTCCCTTATTTACACAACGAAGAATGAATCCTATTATAATTACGTCGTAACCGAGCCACCATTCTTAACTACTAACCTCAATTTAAACATTTCTTTTTCTACGCCTGCTGTGATTGAAGTTTCAACCGTCATCGAAGCTGGAAACGATACGAAAATTAATTCCACTGCTTTGCCGTTATGTCCGGATGATATTTCGTCGAATTTGGGTGAGTACGTTTTAATTTGAATCGAACTTTCATAATCATACTTACCTTTAATGCGATATTTCGTAAATCATGAGGATAATAAAGGAAAAACTTGGAATAAAAAAAACTCAGGAAGGAATGTATATTTTTGTGCATTTTTTGTTATTTGTGATATATTATGCTTCACTATACCTTGTCATAGGCAAACGGATTATTATATCGCCCATTTTATTCTAGCGGTGCTAGTATTTTAATTCGTTGTTGAGGCTAAATAGGGGGTAATTTTCACGATGTTTTTACCAAAAAAAGGGACCAACCTGCGTAACTCACTTAGTTTAGATACTAGAAACAACACTTTCAAAAAGCTTTAATGCTTTTTTCCCGGAATGTGCTTAATTTTTTGGTCATTTCACGTTGAAATATTTAACTTGGAGTTTGACAAATAAGAACCTAGTTTTCATGAGCCACAACTCTACTACAACTCCAAGTTTTTTCGATATATATTTTACATAAACAATATTTATCATTTTTTTATATCAAGAATATCTTTATTTTCCCTTTTTTAAATTAAAATTGATAAATAATTTACGGAGATATTTGCAAAAAAGCAGTTTTTTGCACTAATTTATAAATTTTATTAATTTTTTTATTAACAAAATAAGATGTTATTATTACATTTGAACATCGAGGAATTACCGTCTTTTAAATTTGTGCGAAATTTCCCCCGATCGGTCAAATAGTTTAAAAGTTAGTTAATTTATTTATCCCTGAGGCTAAATATTTAAACTACTGAACTTGCTTTATTAATGAACCCAGATACATTTAGCAAATTTCATAGGATTCTTTAAGACTTAAATTATCTCAGAAGTTAAATGCATATTGCGTTTTCATCGAAATTATTTACAAAATAAACGTTTGAAAACGGTATGTTTTTACTTATAAACAATTGTAATAACTTCTATATTTTTCAAGCTACAGACTTGTACGTACAACCATTGGATAGCTGGTAAAAAACTCACATTAAAAAAAACCTTCCATGACCAATAGGAACGAAGTTAGGGACTATTTTGACGAAATTTTGAAGCGTGGCAGCTGCTACTCATCCCGTCTTTTTTACGCATACTAAGATATATTACCGGTTTTCTATTATATAGATGACCTTTCCTCCTATTCACATGAATACATATAAAATGTAGGGACACGAGGACGATATACTCTGTGATCTTTGGAGATATTTAGATCTAAAAGCATAAATGAATACCGTCCTATGTGTGAAATATGTAAAAAATTACCTGAAATTTAATTTATAAAATATATAAGTATTATTAATCATTGATATAAAATGAAAAAAAATATATGTTGATTTTCCGGAATTTTTCAGAGATTTCCGGGGGGTGAAAATTATGTCATCATTATTAATACTGCGACAGACTATTCCAGTCAAATTAAAAAAAAAAAGTTTTCACTGTGAATTTCAAATGGACTCCGAGGAAAGAAATGGACTGGAATTTTCCGAGGTTTACCATATTTCCCGGCCAGTGAAAACTATGTAGTTATTCATATTTCGACGAGCTACCCGGATTAAAAAAAGAGGTTTCTAGCTGCAATGGAAGCAGCCGAGATAATGTAAATTTTTCCTACGTGTTTCAATTTGAAGTTCTGATCTCGAAAAAAACTGAGCTGAAACAGTTAACCCCTCCACTTTCCGTCGATCTTTCGAAAGTACTTTCGTTTCCAAGGGTCGTAAGTTTCGGAAAATTTGATGAATTTTATAGCTATAAGTTTCAATATAAAGTTTAGATTACTGTTCAAAATTTGTGCAAATTTTACTTCTTAATGTTTATAAACAATAGAGATATGCTTTTTTAAAAAATAGTCCCTAACTTCGTTCCTATTGGTCACAGAAGGGTTTTTTTAATGTGAGTTTTTTTACCAGATATCCAATGGTTGTACGTAGAAATCTGTAGCTTGAAAAATATAGAAGTTATTAGAATTGTTTATAAGTAAAAAACATATCCCTTTTTCAAACGTTTATTTTGTAAATTATTTTGATGAAAACGCAATATGCATTTAACTTCTGAGATAGTTTAAGTCTTGAAGAATCCTATGAAAATTGTTAAATGTGTCTATCGTCATTAATAGAGCAAGTTTAATAGTTTAAATATTTAGCCTCAGGGATAAATAAATTAAATAACTTTTAAACTATTTGACCGAACGGGACGAAATTTCGCACAAATTTAAAAGACGGTAATTCCTCGATATTCAAATGTATTAATAACATTTTATTAATAAAACAATAAAATTTATAAATTAGTGCAAAAAAACTTCTTTTTTGCAAATATCTCCGTAAATTATTTATCAATTTTAATTTAAAAAACGGGAAAATAAAGATATTCTTGATATTAAAAAAGATATAAATATTGTTTATGTAAAATATAAGGGAAAAAACTTATGGACAAAAAATCAAATTGTGACCATAAATTATTGTTTAAAATAACGCAAGGTAAAAGTACTTTTTCATCTATTCGTCATCTAGTAACCCCACCTATGTCTTAAAAGCTTCAGTTATATGCGAAAAATTTTTCGACCTTTTTTTAACCAGACTGGGTATTATATTCACATAGATTTTTATGAAATAAATATACTTTTACTGAGTGTTATAATTAATCAATCCTCTGTACAATTACTGTATGTAATTATTATTAGGTTTTTAAATAAAATTATACCTTTTGAAATTTATTGTGTACTATACAGGGTGAGTCACGAGGAACTTTATATACTTCTACCATATGTAGAGTCCCTCAGGGAGCATATCATGTGGCCACTAAAAAATGTCAACTCCTCTTCTTTATTAATTAACAGGGTGATTTGTGTAATTGACCATTTATTTCATTTTACTGTAGTGTTTATACGGCTCATTTGATTTTTTTAATTTTTGCATGATACAGTACACTACTATCAAGCATTCGACTGGTATTAGCTAAACTAAAAAATTCCAGGACTGGCTTTGGAAAAATTAATTTAGGGATTCGTATTAAATATTACACCCTGTATATATTTTTTTAAATGCAATAAGTGATTTTCAAACTACATAAATAGCCAATGAAAACGACATATGCGACAATGTTGTCGCACTTTTATTAAATTTTTAGTGAACGATCAAATCTTACCAAAAATAGAACAACCATAATGAAGTATCAAATTATAAGGTATTAATTTAAACAAATGTTATAAAATTTAAAAAATGAGTTCCTACAACATAATCTAATACGTAGAAAATTAACATCTTTACTGTCACTTTGTATTATCTCTACGATAGAATCAATTGTTTTTCAATTTTAAATTTTTACTCATAGATCGTATTGGGGCATTATTTTCGATAAATAATAAATTAAATTGATTAAAAAGTCAAACCTCTTGTATGTGTTAGTTTTTGTTGATTGTAAATGATTAAAATTTTATGTCAAATAATAATACATTGCATCAACTGTACTAGATAAAAATAAATCTAAAAAAGTTTAAAATGAAGGTTGGCGTTGACCGTTTGACGTTTCTTGATATTTTATACCCATTGTCATTATTGTCATTATCAATTGTTATTTATGTGTACAAGAATACATATTTCTTCTGTCATATCTACGTTAAGTACATTGTGTTAGTTTTGGTAGAGCTTTTGTTACTTTCGTTCAAAATGCCACATCAGTTTTCGACCACAGAATATGCAGACATAATATTTGTTTATGGATTCTGTAATGGGAATGGTAGGGCTGCTAGTAGAGAATATCGCAGGAGATTTCCTAATCGTCGAACTCCCAGTCATCCAACATTTGGGTCAGTTTTTAATTATTTGCGAGAAAATGGCACTTTTCCTAGTGGAACAACAGAGCGACATGTAGATGAAGCGCAGGAAGATGACATTATGGACGCCGTTACTATGAACCCTACAATAAGCACTAGACAAGTAAGTCGAGAACTCAATGTTACTCAATCAAAAGTAAGTAGAGTCTTACAAAAAAATAATCTATACCCATATCACATTCAAATGGTTCAGCGACTACATGCTGGAGATGAGATCGATAGGTTGGAATTTTGTAGATGGATTAACAATAATCGACCAACGCTATACAGGACACTATTTACAGATGAAGCCCAATTTACCAGAGACGGGATAAATAATTCACGAAATTCACATGTGTGGGCAGAAGAAAATCCCCATGCTATTCGAGAACGTCGTTCTCAGTTAAGGTTTTCGGTTAACGTGTGGATTGGTGTCATAAATAACCAATTAGTAGGTCCTCACTTTTTTGATGGTCCTTTAACAGGGCAGGTCTATTTGAACTTTCTACAAAATATTTTGCCGAATTTGCTTGCCAACGCGAACGTTGCTATCCGAGGGATGTATTTTCAGCATGATGGGGCACCCCCACACTTTTTACTGGCAGTGAGACAACATCTCAATAATGTTTATGGCAACAGGTGGATAGGACGTGCAGGTCCTATTTCGTGGCCTTCAAGATCCCCTGATTTCAATCCCGTTGATTACCATATTTGGGGACGATTGAAGCAACTAGTTTACGCAGTGAATATTAATAACCGACAACAATTAATTGATAGAATTATACATTGTTGTAATACTATTAGAAACGATCCCCAGAGTATCCGTAATTCAATACGTCAATTAACAATTCGGCAACAAAAATGTGTACAGGCTGCAGGGTTCCATTTCGAAAATCTATTTTGAATTATTTTTATTTTGTTACCATTATTGTATCTTTTCCAGTTCTAATTTATGGGTTTATCATAACTATGTACATATTTTTAGTTTTTTTTTAAATTGTTCTTCGTTATTGTTAGTAGTTACTGTTTTTTGTTGTGCAGTGACTCAGTTTATCATTTCAATTAAAATGTTTGAAATTTATAACATTTGTTTAAATTAATTACCTTATAATTTGATACTTCATTATGGTTGTTCTATTTTTGGTAAGATTTGATCGTTCACTAAAAATTTAATAAAAGTGCGA